GCTGAACTCCCTAGCACTGCTGTCACACTGCCCCGTCTGCTTATTCGGCAACTAGCATACCTACCTCAGAGTTGCTCCACTATCCACAATTTGTGTATGCGCTCGGCGCCATTTTACTTTATCTTGATGTAACCTAATTTGACGTTACGTATTCATGCTCGCTGGTAGAGTTGGAATATTTAGGCACTGAGACGGATTTAATATGCAGACCAGTGTATGCTAAAATACAAAATAACAAAACATGCACTTCCTAAGCATGAGTTCGAATACAGGGAGTATGTACATACCCCTACACATAACAGTTCTAACGGGACACATTTAAGCTTGCTACCATTCTATAATGCTATGGAATCTGTGCTACACTGATGAATCACTCATGATTTGTTGACTATAACTCGCCGTTAGTGGTGTTTCGGGAGTCAGCACCCTTAACATGGTTTGTCGCCAGGTTCAATAATTAAATTGATTTGCGCAGATCATGGCGCCGCGGTGTTATCAAGCTCGTAGATGAATTTTTAACGTATTGCTCACCAATAATTGTCTTGGATCCCGGCACGTCTTATATACTATATCAGCAATATCAAGCATGAGCACAATCACTTAATACGTTAATCTGTTGATTATCACAGCTCAACAAATTTACTGGCGTTATGGCATCGTCCTTAGTTGTTGGAGGTATATGAAGCCACTTCAGTCAGTTCTTACAACAGGATGTGTTGCTGAAGGCTGATGTGACACAGCTGCATATAATCACTGTTATGGTACTTTCAGACTGCTGGCTCTTGGATATGCCCAGTTTTGGCCATCAAAGTTCTGTTTCGATCTCATCCAGCACAATTGCCTTCCGAGCAAAGAACCAGCGCAGCTGACCAATCGGTTTCGTAACTTGCGAAATGTTCATCAGAACAAGCAGTTCAGAGTAAGTGTTTAGACAAGTAGAAGTTTACATTTGCCACCTATTGCATTTTAAAGTTACTGTGGAAAAAGAAAATCTATCCGGTATTTTCAGCCGAAACTGATTTGCGCGAAGAAATCAAGGTTCCTTCTGAATGGTGTGCTGATTTGCAGCCTGTTTGGTTGCAGGTATTTTTTTTTGTTTTCAACATTGACGAACTGAGACAGTTTTAATAGCATAATTGCGCTATGCTTCAGACGTAGTAGGGCCAGGTGGTTGTACGACTATTTGGAGGTCCGTATTCAACTTAAGCAAGAGCCGGCGCCGTACAAGATGAGTGATTTCTTTCCTGAGGTTTACGGTTTTTATGTACTGTGTCAGCAGAAGCAATCTAGACATGGAGCACGTCTCAGTTGGTGAGGTGCAATTGATTTACCGGCTGTTTACATATGATTTCATCATGTTCACTTCTTCCATCGATGATCGCTAATGTATACTTGATCGTTTTGCTATTGCATGTGATCAAGTCGGGATAAAAATAAGTCTGACCAAAACTGAGGCTTTTATACTCTCGAAATGGCCACTCACTGAACTCCGTGAGTAATTGGAGTATGACTGGAACTAGTCGAGAAGTTTAAATTTATCGATGTAGCATTTACGAACATTTGCATTCAAAACATCGAGATCGGCACAAATCGGCCAGACGTGCGCAGTAATGCAGGAGCTAAGTCGGCCGTATTGTTGAAGAAGGAGCTTAGTACTGATACAAAATAACTTGTCTCCAGGTCTGTTTATGGTCTACTTTTTCTCATCCGTGGTCATTTGTACTGAATACCGACAAAGGAGCGCAGCCACGAATAAAAGCGACAAAAATGAGGCTGCTCATGAGGATTACTTGACAAAGCTCGAACACAAAGTAGGCAAATCCTCATTTTTGAATCACTTCTGCAGTTCAAGGGATTAAAGTTGCGATTATCTGTACCTTTAATCAGATGCCATATGACCAACTGGCAAAACGTTATGGAGGTGGTTCATATACAAACCCCGATCAGATAATTCGAATGTTTAGAGGACCTGTCATTTTCGCGTATTGAAATCCAGCACATGAAGCGTACTCACTTGGTGGAAAACTGGAGATCATTGGTACGGCTTTTTGAAGCATTTACTACGCAATCTGAAGGGGATAACGGAAATTGAAAATGAAGTGCATATTGAATGACGCTGTCAGCTGTTATATGGTTTTATTGATGTACATGAAAGCTTGACAGTTTTACACAAGTTAAAACTGTTTTCCATGATTTTCGTGTCGTTTCAGGAACCATAGCAATTTAACATTTTCTCACTAAGCGTGTAATCGAAAATTTCAAGTATCATTCATCGTTGCCTTCTTTTCCATACTCTTTCCATTGCATGTGATTGACAGGCAGTTTTGCTATCTGGTCCTCTAACTTCGATTATGTTACTTAATTTCTGTTGTTTTT